GTGTTTTCTTTTACATCTGATTAAACTGGTATTTTCTTTGCCTTTTAGTGTATGCAGATAATTGTTTCCAGTATCTGTTATCCACAGCTGCGTTAATACTTTATGAAAGACCAGCTCATTAAGGCAGATATCTGAAGGCAGCACAACAAATATGTGTGCTGTATGTGTAACCTCTAATGTGAAATCTCGAATTTGCACACAATGATCTATTGATATATCGTTTGACAATGTGCAAAATAACTTCTGTGTATGCCACAAACTGGTACGCTTCAACTGTACTATTCTGTCAGGCTAGATGATGCACATTATCTGGTGTGGGCAATAGTGACATCCTGGGAACACAATGGACACAATTCACAGTCTAAAATGTTAAAACAACAGTTGACTGTACATCAGTGAATATCCTTAGGACCACTCTTTTCCTCCTTGAAAAACTCTACATTATGGGAGGTAATAGGTGCGTGCATGTCTTTCTGTACTTATTGTAAAAATGTAAATTTACGTGTCATATGTTTTTGTGCATGGGCGTGGCAAAATGACCTGCCTGCACCCCCTAAAGAGCAGCCCCGGGTCACGTTTCTCCAAAATGTATGAAATTTTTGTTCCAGATGTATCAGGTCCGGACCGACAAAAAAGCCTGTGGGGATGCCCCTAATCAAATAGGCAGATTTTTAATTTAATGATAATTACAGGGCACGCACGTTAACAAACTCCTCCTAGTAAACTTCAGATTTTTGCTGTGCAATATTAAGACATTGACAATGAAAAGTTGTGCTATCTGTGAGATTTTCTTTCAATGGCGTGTCTGTGGCGTGGTGTAGAATATTGATGATTCGGCATCAAACAGGAAGTTATATACTGTTCTCACAGCGCTTTTCATAAAAGAGCAGGTCTAGACCGTACTCTATGATGCTATTTACAGAAGCCCAACAATTCCCACCAAGAGCAGCACTAGGCGACAGAGGCAAGGAAAAACTTCCTTTAAGAGGCAGAAACCTCGAGCAGAACCATGGCTCAGGGTGGGCGGCCATCTGCCTCCACCGGTTGGGGTGAAGGAGGAGAGAGAGAGAGAGAGAGAGAGAGAGGGAGAGAGAGAGATGGAAGGAGAGAGAGAGAGGGGAGGGAGGCAGCCTACACAATATACACACAGAGGTACAGACAGTAAAGGTGATGTTGCTATAGACTAAATGAAAAATGGTACAGATATTTACAGTAGTGTTAATGATAACAGTCGTAATGTTCATGATTATAATAACAATAATAACAATAGGACTAGTAACAATAGTCGTTGCAGCACAGGGTGTCGAGCAGGAACACGGGGGCAGCAGGTGACCCGCAACCACAGATCCAGACTCCACAGCTCCAGAGCCAGAAACACCTGCAGGAAGTGATAGGAGGAGAGAGGAGAGGGACGAGAAAGCACAAGACTACCGGAAAGGGGAGAAGTTGTGTTAGTAACATGCAATAATGGGATGAGGTTGCATACAGAGGGAGAGAAAGTAGAGGAGAGAGGAGCTCAGTGCATCATGGGAAATCCCCCGGCAGTCTAGGCCTATAGCAGCATAACTAAGGGATGGTTCAGGACTCACCTGAGCCAGCCCTAACTATAAGCTTTATCAAAGAGGAAAGTAAGCCTACTCTTAAATGTGGAGATGGTGTCTGCCTCCTGAACCCAAACTGGAACCTGGTTCCACAGGAGAGGAGCTTGATAGCTGAACGCTCTGGCTCCTAGTCTACTTTTGGAGACTCTAGGAACCACAAGTAACCCTGCATTCTGGGAGCGCAGTGCTCTGGTGGGGTAGTAAGGTACTATGAGCTCTTTAAGATAAGATGGTGCCTGACCATTAAGAGCTTTGTAGCTTTGTGGTTCAAAGACAACTCCAAGATTCCTCACAGTGGTGCTGGAGGCCAGGGCGATGCCATCAAGGGAAACTATATCTTTAGATAATGCGTCACGGAGGTGTATCATTAGTATCATTACTAAAGTACTAGTTCTGTTTACCTTTTTAAATAATTTTGATGGTCGGGGGGCAGACACCGTCACTAAGTAACTCCTGAAATGGAGGAGCAGAGAAGTGTGTTAGACTGCGACTCTGCGTAGGGTTTTGGGTGGGTAACTGCTGAATTAGAAGGGCAGAGAAGTGTGTTAGACTTCGACTCTGCCTCCTGGTCTCAACTCTGGGTTGTCAAGGATTTGGTCCACTAATAAACTTGGCCAGATTTCTGTGGGATGGATGCCGTCTCTCCGGATCAGACCAGGTCTTCCCCAGAAAGTCTGCCAATGATCTACAAATATATATATATATGCTCAGATCTGTACCCAACTTTAAGTGCTTGATAAGAGTCCTGCCCTGAACACATGTACATGCCAATATTCACTCAGTGCCATAGCACCAACAACAACAGGCGACTGGATGTAAGCTACTTGTGACATCGATTTACTGGTACACAACATATAATTAAGGGGCCATGTTATCTAGGGCCACCTATAGGACACAGGAAGTGACATTTACTAATTTAGCTGACGCATTTATCCAAAGCGACTTACAATTGCTATATATGTCAGAGGTCGCATGCCTCTGGCGCAACTAGCGGTTAAGTGTCTTGCTCAGGGACACAATAGGGAATTGAACCCGGGTCTCTCACACCAAAGGCAGGCATCTTATCCATTGCGCCATCACCGCCCCATCTTTAAGTTCTTCGTGTCCAGTACACAATGCCCAGTAATTCAGAGGCGCGTCTACTGACCTTCAGCCTCTGAACTGCGTGTCACGTTTCAAGGGCCCCTCCAACACCGCTTGCAGCTTTAATATTGTGTTGGTATTTTAATTGAGTCAGTTTTCTCAAACCATTCTCAAAGACGTTCTTTGCTTAATCTCTGTTTCAGCACATTTCATTTTACTTTCTAATTCTGACAATGCCTGGGCACCAATCCTTTAACGAAATGAATCCTTTAACGGAATTAAGTATGCTGTAATGCTCCCCCTGATCACAGCCTTTAAGGCCACCAATAAAGACGACACAGAGGGCCAATTAATTGCTAAATAATCATTTAGCTCTGATCTAAGCCATTCTATATTTTCAATCAATCCACACACTTTTTCAGATTCCATGACAAGTCATATGTGTTTTTGTAAAAAGACCACATCATGTTTATTTTAAGACTGGCCATTTTCTTCCTCCCCAGATGGGATTCCCCAGCCCATTAACAACTTAAGTTAGAGTACATCACTTTTGTAGCGTATCTACGTATGATGTTTAATATAAATTATGAATATTAATATTTCAGAAATATTAATTCATAAATCCTTGTTAGGGCACCACCGGAAATTAGTTACTTAGTTAACTAATTAGTTATTAGTTAGTTAATTAGTTCGCCGAGGGTCTCCAGGCTTGGAGTTAAACAATGCACACACACAGTTCCTGTGTTTATGGTGGAATTTATTAACTAACTACAGGTGAAATAAATGTGGTTAAATATACATAAAAGAAATAAACAATGGCTAAACAAAACAGGATGCAAACAGTGAGAATGTACTGGAGTTCAGTGTGAATTTAGTTGTTTTATTGTGGGGAAGAATCTGATTCATAAGGAGCAAGATAACTAATAAGCGCATGTTATGATAATAACTCAGTTAAATTTGGCTAGGAGTTTTTGCTGAAATAACTAAGGATTAAAGCTAATGGATTAAAAGACTGTTGGACATCAACTTAACCCCAAAATGTAGAGTGTTTGAAGAAAACTTGCAGTGATGGATGTTAACCTTGGCTCGGTTCGTGGATTTTGATGTCCTTTGGGCTGCTGGCGCAACTAACCCACGTGGATGGGTCTGAACTTCGGGGAGGCAGTAAAAGTTAACTCGATGGAACAAAGTTTAAAAGAACTTGGTTGTTCTTGAATTCAAAGTTGCGCGACTGAAACGGTCTGACAAAAGAAAATATAAAGCAAGTAAGTTGCTGGAAACAAGAGAAAGCCGAAGTCGCGGCTGTTACAGGAGATTTTTGTTGGTGCTGCATAGATGTTACAAATGTCTGTGTTATGATACTGTTGCTCGCTAGCGCTAGGCGCACCTCCGTGCGAGCGCGGATGTCTTTTAATATCCCTACAGGCTGATGACTTTGTAACTTTTGACATTTTAGGCTTCCATGATGTTTCTCCCCCAAACTAAACACAAGTTTATTATTAAGAGGATAAATGTAGCAGAGCGATGCAGAGCTCGCTATTCAGCAGGAATCTTCACGTCACATGACCCCCATCTCTAAAATATGGGGGCATCTCTAAAATATCAATGTATGGTGTAGCATTACATTTTTCATCTTAACTGGATGTAAGAGAATAAGCAAAATAGTTTATTATAATTTTTTACTTTATTGTCTCCATATATGTTGCACAAAATTTGCTTCAATCTTGAATGCACTGTATTGGTATATTCTTCACTTTTCCACAAAGTTTTAGATTGTAATCCACATTTTCATGTTAAGCTTGTTGCCTTCTTGTTCAACTAGTCTCCAGTGTAATTAAAGCTTTCAGTCTGTGGATTTATGTTGTTTACATTTCTGCACGAATGCTACATAACTCCCTGTACAGTGTATTATTGTACCTGGCAAGTGGGGAACACTATACTAAGGCACTTCATGTTGGTTTTTCCTCTAATTTGTCACCCATATGTATAGACTATAGGTGTGTGTGGTGTGCTAAGCAGTAGCTAAAAATGTTCTATCATGTATTTTTACTTGACATAATTATTAAATAATCAGAGATAGCTCTTGTTTCAGGATGTGTTGTTTGCGTGCATTATAAATACCGCAGTCACCACACAGTGACCGTAATGAAGTGACCCCTGTTCTCCCGCTGGGGTTCATGTTGGTGTATCAAACACAAAAGGGACTTAATTACGTCAGTGCTCTTTCCCCTTTCACACTGAATTCCTGAGGGGGGACTTTTAATTGCAGCAAGTAATTCATCAAGTGTTCATCAGACCTTTCTGATTAAATTTCAGGTCAACTGACTACGGAGCAACGTACCAGAAGCTGAATGACAAAGTAGGAGCCAAAACAATACTCAGTTATTTGTACGTGAGCCCGAACAACAAGAGAAAGGTAATGTTCTTCTTTTGTTTCCTTTGAGTTTGGTAATTGTTTTTATTGTATGAGTTTGAGCTTTTGTTTCCTCTTCAGTTTTGTTCTGAGACGCAGTATGCAAAGTGAAATACATGCAGACATATTGAAGTCTCACTCATCATTGTCTGCTTGATGTCTGTCCTCTGTCACTTTCTACGATATTAATAAGATTGGTAATAATTTATTATATGTGGAATCCACCTAGACCTAGCAAAGGAAATACTTGCTGTTAAATTTCTCTAATGAATAAGTTGGCTAGAGTCTCTCTTTTTTATTTCCGTCTTTCTGGAACTAAATCAATTATAAGCCAGACGAGAAGGGTTAAAAGACAAGAATAGGTTCATATTTGCAGCCATTCCTTCAGGCAGGCTCCCTGCTCCTTCCTGGGTTTGGGTCAGTTGACGGTTATAACAATCTGTTTCTCTTCACACCACAGTTTTACCACTCTCCCTTTACATAACTCTAACAAGGAAGAGTCGTTTTCTTTGAGTTAATTATTGTCTAATAATGAAGATAAAATGCAGCCACACCTCAGTTCAGAATCCCAGCTGCCCCCTAATTGAGTTAGGTGGCCTGTCAGGGATTGGGACATCCTTGTGGTCAGTTACAGGTGTCGAGACAGTCGATAGTGAGCGAGAGTGAGTGGAATTGAACAGAGAGGGGGACACCCTTAGCTACCCTGCGAGGATGGAATGCCCTTATGTTATCAGGGGAGGATTAAAGGGAAAAATATATATTTTCAACCTAGAACCTTTTTGCCCATGTTTTTGCGTCTAAAATGACTAATGGGGGCAAGGGTTTTTGAAATTGGTCCAGAATGAGCCGGCAGCTGCGAAATGGGCTGCAATGTAATCCTTCAGGGCAATAACGACCATCAATGTGTGCCAACTAGAAGTGCTTCTTTTTTGCCACTGACAGGCTCAGATTGTTATTAGAAGTGTATGGCAACATTATGGAAAGAAACCTACTGAGAAATAAAACAGTTTTCCTGTCATCATTGTTGAATGTTTACTGTAATCTACTCTTTATTTAGTCCATTTTTCAGTTTCACCAGATCTACTTCTAATTTAGTTATGGTTGAATATTTTCAGTAATACTTTTCAACAACAGGTCATTGAGTCTTCCCGCTCTACGCCTTGTTCATCCATCCATGTTCTGGAGCTTAGGGCACGCTAAGCAAAGTAGTCCAGATGTCCCTCTACCCAGCAACGGTTTCTAGCTCCTCTCACACTAGATGATATATATATAATCACTCCAGCATGTTCTGGGTGTGTCCTGGGGTCTCCTACAGTTGGATGTCCCTCCAAGGGGAGGCACCCAGGATGCATCCGCGTCACATTCTCCGACTGCCTCAGTTTGCTCATTTTGATGTCTAGTGATACTTGAACAAGTAAAGGAGTTCAAGTATCTTGTGCTTGCGGATAAATGGAGCCTAAGGCCAACAGGTGGATTGGTGAATGGTCAGTAGCAAGGCATTCCAATCCCAAAGGTTTTGGTAGTGACTGAAAGAATAAGATTGCGGGTGAAAGGAAGGGTGGGTCCAGCAACTGAAATTGCCACAGGTTTGGGATCTCTGCAGAGATTTTACTGGACCTGACAAGAACTGACAAGAGACTGATAATGCCAGCCAAACAGCTTTATTTTTAGCTAGTAAATCAGAATGTTACTGATTTAAATGTCTGATCATGTTGGAATTTGAGCCGTGACTTTTGTATTTTGGGCAAGAGGAAGCCATGCAGACCATGCAGTTTTTCCCAAAATTGGGACCTGCTTTTAACAAAATGCAAGGGACTGCATTGGTGGTGGCGTGTTGATTCAGGTACAGGTGAGACAATGAAATATGATCCAGGAAGTCAAGTATAAGTAACAATGGTCCAGGAGGCTTATCAGATGAGAGCCCTCTGGGTTGGCACCCCTGCTGTATCAAAGGAGTGGCCCCACTCATATGAACGAGGGGAATGAAAATTTTAAATTCTAAAGTCAGCCTGAGTGCAGCCAACCTATACTGAATTTCACTATGTTCCATTTTATACATATCTGCATGTTTTATATATTATCATAGAAAAAATAAATGCCCCTGTTCTAATGTATGTCTGCAAAGATTCTCAGTCATTAAGGTTATTGTTATCCAAGGAGGGTTAAATCAAGGACAACTGTTTTTGAGTCGTGCTTGATTTAACCCTACTTGGATAGCTGTTCAAAAAAAAGAACTATAAAAAGACTCCTTCCTAAAGCTAAAATGAAACTGGAAATGGATCTTTTTAATGTAATGATTTAGAACCAGATTATCAGAATCAGTTTATCAGTGATCCTCAGGGTCCATTTTTTAACCTCCATGTAGCTTTTACATTGGCATTCTTTGACACATGCGCAGGTTCTCTGTGATTTCTTTACAACATGGATTGCCCATCCATCCACTAGCAATACCAGCTTGTCCTTTAAAGGACAGGGTTCACTCGCAGCAGAACAGAAATTTAGATTAATTTGATATTTTCAAGACATGTCCCCAGTGTCACCAGTATAAATGACACCTATGTGTGAATAGCAGCAGAGAAAAGGTTTAAATTAAGAGGGTTTATTTGAAAGCTGCAAATTTGACAATTCTAAAAAAGTATTGCGTTGTTGTGCATTTTTATACTACTAACCAACTACCAATACTAACTGCTAGCCCTGACAAACTTGCAGTACCACTGAATATACACATTTAGAATATATAATTTTTCCAGCTGGTGAGTGTCACCTCTCTGCATAAAAAGTTCTTAAGTAAAAGTTAAATTACCAATTTTTTTAAACATTCAAGAAAAGTAGTCAAAAAACAACTTTGCCCTCCAGCCCTGCTATTGGCAATCCAGTTCACGCTGGCTCAACGTGTTAGACTGACAGATGGCATTGTCATCCATGCTGCTCAATCCGTCCTCATCCCAGGGAGTCACATATAGACACTTGGTCAGCACCCTCGACGTCTCTTTTTAGCATCATTTTTGCATGTGCAGCTATTTTGGATTAACAAGACCAGGCTCCTATCTTAAGGAAGGGGGAGAGAGCCAGAACTGCACTTTTACAGGTCACCGGGACATAAAAGCTACATGAATAGAATCAGCAGTAAAATCTAATAAAAAAGTTGACATCCCTTCCCCAAAATAAGGTTTAAAAAGCGTTTTTCCTGACTGGTTATACTTGTACTACGCATGCATCACCACTTCCACGTTTGTGCAGTAGAAGTAACACAGACCCTTAACGTCAGTGGAAACACACGATTGGCTGAAATATGTTTCCCGCTTTGGCTGTTATAAGCAGACGATTGGCTTTCTTGCGGGAGGGGCGGGATAACCGCCATCTTTGGTGGTACGGCTTTCCCCATAGAGTTGTATTGAGGATGTGATTGAGTGTGGTGTCTCCTCTATGTAACGTGTTTGGTAACAATAAATATACATCCGGTTAGACTTTCAGAATAAAGCTAGTGGATAAGTTGTGAAATGTCACAATTTTAGGTTTAGGCAACACAACTACTTGGTTAGGGTTAGAAAAAGATCATTGTTTGAGTTCAAATAACTGCGTGACTTAACTTACATAAGTGCTGGATTGAACAATGGCCCCCCTTGGAGCCACAAAAAACAGGTCCCTCTACCCTGAAGGCAAGTATTACTGGAAAGCAGTTATATTAAATTCTAAACCTTTATTAATCTAAAAAGAGGTATTAAAACAATATGAAGCACAAAGAGACAGTTTGGCTGAGATATCAACGAGCCCATAAAACACACACTAGCTGACATGCAGTAAATATACCAGCAGACACGTTAACCCAGCGCAAGTGGAGCTCACAATCAATGGGCATGGGGCAAGTTTATCCCACACGCAGGATGAGCTCTAAGCCAGACCATCAGTACAGAACAGAACAAAACAAGGAAAAGAAAACCACCAACCACATTATTTTGTACACATGTATGTAGGCTATGAAAGATAATAAAAAACATGTTCAAATCGCACCAACTACGGAGACCCCTACCTGGGTCTCCCCGGCTATGTTAGCCTCCCCCTAACGTTACATGGGGCTCTCCTCATAACAGCAGTCGCCACCTGCTATACTCCGGCCAGACGCCGCCCTGACCCCGGGCTCTCATGACGGGTAAAGCAATAGTGGCAGGACAGCCACACGCCACGCGGAGGACAGAAGCATAACACCCTCAGCTCACCAACAGGTGCCTATCGGCTAATCACCGCACGCACTGCTGACCTGCCGGTCCGGTCCATAGGTCCGGCCAGACCAGCTGCCCCGCCACGTCAGTTCCACCAGCTTCATATCCAATCAAAATGTAGGCTTATTAGGTCCTATAAAATAAATAAATAAATAAACGAAAACTAATTTAACTAATTTACTCTTTCATTTTAGTTAGTTTCAGTTAGTTTTTCAAACCTACAACACAGTTTTAGTTAACCCTAACCGTTTTTACTTTTATTTCAGTTAATGACAATGTTTTTTCACAACTAGTTTTCGTTCGTTCGTCTTCGTTAACGATTATAACCTTGCAAGACGCCCGAAGGACATAACAAAGCGTAGGTATCGATACCCTGGGAATGAGCGCTGGCTGTGCTGCAAGTGTGGCTAAAATTAAGAGAGAAACAAACTTAAGAACAAACATGGATGGAGAAAGACACACAAACAGTTCATTCTAAGCACACACGTCTTTCTTGTGAGGGAGGGTAGCAGAGACTGCAGGTTTGGGACTATTGCCATCACCCCCGACATGGTGCCATGTGACCACTGCTAGTGGCAGACAAAAGCCCCTCTCTTTACCCAGTGGTGGAAGTAAATCAGGCCTCTGTGGCTGCTGGGAGATAGAGGGAATAAAGCTCTGTAGAACAGAGAGAGAAACAGCACAGAGAGCTAAAGAGAAAGTGTGCAGGAGATAGGAGAGGTAGAGAGAGACGGCAAATAAACTGACAGAGAGCAAGGGAGTGTGGAAAGGAAAAAGGGGGGG